AAAAAAAAAAAAAAAAAAAAAAAAAAGAAGAAGAAGAAGAAAATAATAAAACAAGAAATCCGATTGCAAAACGAAAACGTAAGAATTATACGACATCGTTATAAGAAAAAAAACAAAAATGTATAACTTACGGAAGAATATTTATATCTTGTAATATTTGTGTTTATTCCTTTTGATAACCGAGAATAATCTTTTGCATGCATGCGCGAATACAAAAATACGATGATAATTCGTTAATCACGGACCAAGCAATACGAGATTCAGGAATATTCAATGTGCCAAAGGCATATTTTCAATCAAATGTTTCTTTTTTTTTTTCATATTCCTTTATACTTGCTATCATAATAAATTGTAATAAATGTTATTCCGATTTATATTATTATCAACACATTTCCTCATTTCTGCGTGTTCGAAACTTTAGATAGAAAAATCATATGTTTTTATCGGAATTTTACAAGGATTATTGCATTGCACGTACGTATACGCCCATATTATAAAACACATATATAAATATAAAAACACATATACACACGTCACCTAATAACGTACACTTACGCGCACGTATGAATATAAAATCGAAAAAAAGAAAAAAAAAAAAAGAAATAAATAAGCCGAAGTTTAAAGGAAGGAAAACAAGAAAATACCAATATTGTAAATAGTGTACGAATTGTGCGTTTAGATTTATCGATAATCGCATTTCAGACGAAAGTCTCAAGAAAGTGATTTTAGAGAGGAACGATGAAAGTAATCAAAAGAAAGAAAAAACATTTTAACAAAATTGCAGAAAAAAAATGAAAAGGAAAAAAAAACACAAAAACAGAAATTTACAGAAAAATAAACGTATGTATGAAAGAAGAAACAGAAAGAATGAGAGAGATCTTTCGTAATTTTCGTCAAAGATTTCACGCATACGAATTAAAATATATATATGTATAAATATATGTATAACATATATTAATGTCGTATTAATATTAATTTTACAAGATACAAAATACCTGTCGACTACATCATCGAAAAAAATGTCTGCTCTATGGATATTAAGAATAATAATATTAATAATAATAGTAATAATTATAATAATGATAATTATAAAAAGTAAGTGGAAGAAGGGGGAAAACAAATAAAAAAAAAGAAAAAAAAAATTGAAAAAAATAAAGAAAGAAAAAAAAAATATAAAAAGGAGGAAAGAATCAATGAAAAAAAAAAAAAACAAAAAAACTTCCGTCAATGCTTCCTCTTCATGAAGAACTTCCCCAAGCGTTTTTCTCCTGAACTTAATTAACTAACCCCCGTCCAAACCACCCCCTATCTCTCTCCCTCTCTCCCTTCTTCTCAAAGTAATTCGCTTTATAGATTAGCGTTTGACTTATTCAAGGAAAGGAAAGGCGCCGATTGTTCGAGAAGTTTCTAAACCTCCAGAGAAGCCAGGTGGTTCGCGCACGTAACGACCAGGGGATGAAAAAGGAGAAGGAGGAGGAGGTGGAGGGGATAGGAATGCGGGATAATAACAGTGATAAGGAAGATAAAGAGAAGAGATTAAATAGAAAACTTAAAGATAACAGAGAAAAAGAGAGAAAGAAATAAAAAAGAAACAATAAAATCGAAGAAGGGATTATTCGAAAAGCGAAGGGAAAAACTGTGCTCGTGGCGAATGCAACCCTTGTCGTACTTATAAGCCGCTCAAATTCTCGAAACGAGTTAGTTTTCTCTTTGCGTTATCCTCTCTATCATTTTCTATCTTCCCCTCCCCCCCCACCCACCCCCCATCACCCCTCTCCCACCCCTGGCCACCCTTTTTCCTTCTTTGTCTGTCTCTCTTTTTCTTTCACGCTGTTTCTTTCATTCACTTTCTCTCTCTCTCTCTCTCTCTCAATCTCTCTCTGTTTCTAACCCCTTTGGATTCGATCTATCGGCACAACTCGGGGCTCTTCCTTCTCCTCGACTCGATTTCCAGATTAATTAAGGATCGGTGGTCTGAAAGGACGCCCTCGAGAACCTTTAAACGAGGTCGAGTGTCCGTTTGGGAAGGCGTAACGAGCGCCGATCCGAGTCGGTTTCACGAGACACCGAACTCGATAATGACATTTTCCAACGACGAAGGTAAGTCGATCCTACCATTTCCCGTCTATCGAGAGAGAAAAAGAAAAAGAGAAAGAGAGAGAGAGAGAGAGAGAGAACGAAAACGAAAGCGATACAAAACTACATATAACTTTCTTTCCCTTTTGTTTTTTTTTTTTTTTTAAAATTCTCTTTTTCTTTCCTTCCTGTTGATGCAATTTTGTACAATTGATAATCTGCTACACAGCCTTCGGCTGTACCGAATACTATCGGTATGGGTTCGGTAAAGAAGAAAAAGAAAAATAAAAACAAAGGTTTCCGAGAGATTCGCGTCAGTGGCGACACGAGATCTATTGGATTCTGCCATTGGAAAGACTAGCGGACATGTTGCCTTTTCGTGAAATCCCATAAAGCCGAAAATAGAGTGTGAGAGAGAGAGAGAGAGAGAGAGAGAAAAATATATATGTATATAAAAAAAGAGAAATTTCCTTTCAGTTTTCCGTAGAGATAGGCATCAGTAAATAATCTTTCTCTCTATCCACCAGTAGAATACCCAAACGGAATCCGAGTTGTTTGCTTTAGGAATGTGTCTAGGAATTTGTTCCGTTTGAACGGTATTTATAACTGTGAAATCGTTGAAAGACAACAAAAATTCGTCTCGTTTCGTTTTCCTAAAAGCAGGGATTAGTATAGGTATATGAAACGGGCTTTTAATTTTGGCGAATGAATGAATGAATGACTTGGGACGATAACAAAAACGATCCTGATCGATATATCATAGACGAATAAGAGACTTTGAAATATTAGGAATATACAACACAACCCAACGACATCCTCTTCGCGATGATACTATATGCATGTATGTGTATATATGTTATGTACGTTTACGCTCGTACGAAAAGAGTATACATTCCAAAGATAAATCAATATCAAAGGATCCTTATGTAGTATCCGTTTTTCTTGTTTTTCTTTTTTTTTTTTTTTTCATTTTTTATTCGTCATCCTAGGAGACTTTTTTCTCTCTCTCTTCTCTTTTCTTTCCTTTTTTTTTTTTTGCACTTTCTTTATAAACGAACAAGTTCGCGCTTGGACGAGCATCAAAAAAAAAAGGAAAAGAAAAAAGGAAAAAAAAAAAGAAAAGAAATCCTTTCTCTTTTCCTACTACGAAGAATTGATATCGTTGAAACTGCGGTTCCTTTTATTTTTCTACTAGTTCTCAAAGATGGACCGTTTTCCACAACTCTCCACTTCTCTTCCACGATTTCTAACGGGTTCGATAAAACGATTGAAGTGCACGATGAACGATTACACTCGAACAGACTTTTTCATTCGTTTTCCTATATTCGTTGCGGAGTGATACTAAAACCTCTGTCGGCAATCACTCGACACGGAATAACCCATATAATCTTTTTTCGTTGCTTCACATAAGAGAGAGAGAGAGAGAGAGAGTGAATCTTACCGATACCGTTTTAGTCATCCTTCTATCGTTTCGAATCGAGAGGTCGTTCGAGAAGTCTTTGTGGATGATGTGGTTACGTTGTAAAGATGATATCCGTTCGTTCCGAATTGAAAAAGTATACTTCCTACATTGTATATACTTACACCAACACATAGAACATTTTATTCTAAGAACACAAACACACACCCCCGTCACCGATGTTTTTTCCCTTTCTACAAAAGAGAAAATATGCTGCGACATCGAAGGAGGAACAACAACTATATACTATCCGTGTAGACGTATTAAACGTTTCCCTGTGTGTAGTCTCGTTTGTTTAAGTGTTTGTATGCGTGTCTATGTATTTCAGTAATGTATACCGGAAATTGATACGAAATCGATACAACCTACCCTTCTGTAGACGCATCGGCACTTAATATTACTTCGAAAACTCAAACGTTCGATCTTCGTCAAGAGTTAATGATTTATTTTTAATAGTTTTATTACGGTTTGAACAAACTTTTTCCTTTTAATTACTTTTCATTTTTTTTTTTTTTTCTACAATGGATTTTACGTTCGATCGTCGATATTATTTTTTACTTGTCATCACACATTTCTTTATTTTCGTCGTCAACGTAAACCACGATTAATCGGTTTGCATCGTTTTAAAGTAATCACTCTTCAAAATATCCAGTTAATCGCATTATTATTCATTTATCAATCACTACGGATATATTAAATGACCGCATATACATACAATCATAATTCAACACATAGAAATAGCCAAACCTTTATACGATGACAATTCATTTACACGTTGGATAGAGTAATACAACACAATGGCATTATTAAAGGTTTCGTTTTTGAAATGGAATTACAATAATATGTAATACGTAATATCATATCAAAACTATAATAGTAATGAGCGTGGAGAATAATATACGTTTCAAATATAATAATTAATAACAAATAATTGTGACAATAAGAAAGAAAATTCGTATTAATGTACTTATATTAAATTATTGGCCAAATAATTCACATAATTCTTTTCCATTTATTTTAATATTGGTAATATCATTTAAACGGATCGATAAGTAATATAAAAGTATATTACTTGATCGAATAAAGTTTAGCTAAATTTCACGCTGTATATTAT